AAAAAAAAAAAAAAAAAAAAAAAAAAAAAAGCAAGCTTTTATTTTCTCCTTACCAGCCGGGAAGCCTCTGAAAGACGGGTGGCCAGAGACCTCCTGAGGGCAGGAGCCAGCCCAGCTCGTCTGTGGCCGCGGAGGCAGAGCACAGGGCTTCTTCACCGCAGAAGACAGCGAACAGACGAAACTGCTGCAGAGGTGGGAGAGCCGAGTCCGAACCCTGCTTTGCTGGGAGTGGGAAGGGTTTAAAATCCGCACATCGCGCCCCCAGAGTGCCTGGCTCACTGGAGTCTAAACTAAAGCAAGTGGGGGATACCCTCCCCTTCAAACTGCAGAGACAAAGCTTCTGCTTTTTTTTTTTGTTTGTTTTTGCTAGGCATGGGTTTTAATGTAAAGTATATTCTTTGTTTGATAGCACGTAGTGGCCATAGATTACTTTTTCTGAGGAACTTGGTGACTTTAAGGTTGGAACTAAGGATTTAAGGATGCAGCCTCCAAGAGGACTGGAGAGAGGAGTCCAGGGAAGTTCAGAGCTGGGGGGGGGCACTGCCTTTGCACATACCCAGAGCAGAAGCTTTAGGGAATTTAGGGGAAACCCTTGTTTCCAGTATGAGGTTGCACTTGAGCAAGGTGAGGTTGGGATCACAGCTGTGGGCTTAAAGGACTGTAGAGCCATGAAAACAATCAGGTACTCCTCTTGAAACATGAGGGGTGGTAGGAAGTTTGCAAGATGTATGAGAGATGGAGTACCACGGTTCTGAGAACCCAAATAAATATCTCCATATCTCAGTGATGCTAGAAATAGTTTCTCTGCCTAAGGAGGAAGGTTAATTGTGGCTTTCCTTCACGCTTAATCTAGACTTGCCTGCTGACCTATTACTTGTCTCTAAGGCACTTGGGCTGGTAGGAGTCTCCATACAAAATGCTATCGGAATAAAGCCAGTTGCACCTTGGGCGTGATGGCCTAAATAATCTCTTGAGCTCTCATCCATCTCCAGGCATCTGAGAGTCAAAGAACTGGATTTATGTAGTAGTAGTTAGTTGTACCAGTACTCACCAGTCTGTGCATTGATTACCTTGTTTTTCCATTAGGGTTTTTCCCCTGCTATAATGTTACCAATGTACCGCTTTGGAGGGACCACTACAAGTATACCAGTGCAAAGATACCATACACTGATTAATTTCCCTTAATTGGTATAGTTTATAAGTTGTATTAATGTGAACCCCTTTTTATCAGCAAAACTAATTGTAAGATGAAAACATTATACTAACTATATCCTTACAATTGAAGTGGTATGTTTTATGTAAAATTTAAGGCCTTCATGCTTCTGAATCCTGTGCTAAACATGTTTTCCTCATGCCTTGTTTTCCCACGTAAAGGGAGAAATTTGCCAGGCAAAGTAGCTGTTATAACAAGAGTTTTGTATCTTGTCTCACTTCATGTCTTGACTCTGGTCAAGATATACATTTGTGATCTCTACAAATATGAAAGGTTACATCAAGAACAGTGGAGGATCCCCTGAAAGTTTTACTCTGCACAGACACAGCAATCTGAGGTTGTCTAGAGGTGTTCTCACCAAATATGGGTTTTATTTGATGATAATAGGAGGAAAAGATTTGATTTCTGCTGATAGCCTAAATTGAAATGGAGATTTAATCCCCAGGCTTGTTGAGATGCTAAACTTTCTAGTCTGTACCTTAGCTTTGGATTGGCCTGTTTGCTAAAGCAGTGCTTTTACTGGCACAAAAATCAATAAACCAAAAAAGCTGTGAGGAGCCCCAAAACTCCCAGCAGGTAAGCACAAGCCTGAGATTTGGATTAAGAATCAGTTACTTATGGGATTGCAATGGTTTGGGATTCTTTGTTTTTTGCTTTTTAGGCCAAGATAAAGCAAGAGAGTTGTCAGTGAGCATTTTATGTTCTTTTTCTCAATGCCTAGTGAAAGCATTTGTCACTTGCTCTGTTTTCTTTTCTACTGGCCAGCTAACACACAAACCATGCTGCCACCTGTAAAGTCTCCTCCTAACTACATGCAATAGTAATTTTCCATTAAGCTTTCTTCCCCATCTCTTCATTAATTTTGTTATAACTTTCCTAACACTGAGTAAAGTTATTACTAATTAATCACTTAGAGATATGTGTATGTGCAAAAGGGGAACATGCATTTTAATCTGTAACAAACATCACAGCATTCCTAAACCTTATCCATCTATCGCTATAGCCAATACTTTAAAAAAATCTCTTAACATAAACATACAGCATGTAAAACTTCTATCAAGACCCCATTAACTCTGCTGCTTAATTAGCTCCTCTTGGACCTCAGTGACATATTAGACCCACCTATGCTTGCTGAACAGATAGACAGCTGAAGCCAAAGGAAAGTTGCTTAAATATCTGTGACACATTGTGGATTCTGCTAATTCTTACTGGATTTTGAGCTTCTTGGGCAAAAAGACAGAACTGCGAAGATTTTGCATGTCAGCCCTCCTTGCATATGATCCAGGTAGGAGCAGTCCACTCTGGTTATAGTGAATTCTAGGATCCACACATCTCCATCCGTGATTAAATTTGTCACATGTGAAAAACCTGACTTCTTTCTGTTTTACCTGCGATGAACAGATCATTAAATTTGTCCAAAAGAATTTCTGGAAGGGAAGAGCATAAGCACACATGTTCTGGAGAACAAGCTGTGCAGAGTACAGAGCATGCACAAAAGAAATAGCCTGGCTGTCTATGGTAAGATATGTTTCCAGCTGTCTAAGCACAAGTGTCATTCCTCTGTGTCCTACAGAAGGTTATGGAGGTGTTTCTTGTGCCTTACTACCTATTTCCTGAGAGTATCAGGTTTTGAAAGAAGTAGGTGCAGCCTTAGTACATGCATATTTTTTAGGCAAAGTAATCCAAGTCATGGTTGGGAGGCAAAGTCTTTCTGAGAGGAGCAAACAAACAGACTAACCTGAAAACATGCTTAAAATTCACAGTGTTTGTGTCTGTCTGAATTCATGTTATTTCATATTGCTGCATGGCTAGGAAACAGGAATTCAACATATGTGTAAGTCAGGAAGTCTTGAAGTCACTAGCCCCTGACTGAAGGACTAATTTCCACTGTAATTTGTAATCAAAGAGGCAAAACCAAAATGACATCTGTTTGAAGCTGACACTCTTTACCTCACACCTCCCCATCCCTTCAGTAGTTTTATGTTTTCTCTATGAAGGTTTTGCTTTACATCATGATGCAGTCCTCAGCTTAAACTTAGTCCTAACTCAGTCACATTTTACTGGAAAGAATTCTCTTCCCCAAGTACGTTAACTCTGAACATCTCCCTGGTCACAGGGGAAAGTGGGCATTAGCTGTCACAGCAAGGACAGTGTAACATGCAACCCCACGTAGTGGGGGCTGAGTATTTCCTTACAGTACCAACTTTGCTTTCTGTAGGGAGATAAATCACTGAAGCTATATTTATTTCTTTCAGGATTATGTCAAGTTGCAGTGTCTTATTTCCTGAAACACCTCCCCTGAAAGCCTCTCCTCCTGTATTTCCACAAAATATTGGTGTTACTATTTTTAGACTTTGTGGAAAGTGTTACACTAAGTTTAGATTGTGCTTAACCAAGCTGATACCTTCAGTGGTACATGTGTGGCCCTCCTTAACTTAAAGGACAAGTTAAAAGGAATCATCATCACTTAAATATTAATTGAGCCTTACTGATTTATTCTTCCCCACTCTGGATATTAATCCAACAAAGCTATACTAGGGAGCTACAGTTTGGAAGGAAGACAAAATTAGTTCAGGGCAGGCAGTAGCCTCTATGGCCATAGCATCCTCACTTATTGTGGCTGGATCAGAAGGGAGATTTAATGAAATCAGACCTCAGGTCTGGTTTCTCTGTTTTGGCAAGAAATAATTGTAATCCAGAACTGATCAGTGAACGCTTCAGTGTTTGGATCTCCCGTGTTCCCTCCTGTCTGATAAGTTCCTATAACTGTGCTGTCAGAAGAGCAACAAGCTTGCATTGCTTTCCTTTAATTTCTAGGCCATTTTATGTATAGAATTGTAGGATGGCATCATGGATAAGCTTTGTGCTCTGCTTAGGAAAGCTTGCTGGAAGAGAAGAAAGAGGAATGAGGAGGATTGAGGCAGAAAACCAGACATGAACACAGATTAATTTGGGAGGGAAGGAAAGGTAGAACTATGACACTATAATTCTCCCTCCTCTGCCAAGATCATTTGTTCTGTTACACAGCAGAGTTCCACCCTTCGCTGTGTCTCTGCCACCAGACGTGGAGATGGCCTCCACCATGCACGCTTGGCCAGCTGGCTTTTATTTTCTTCTGTCGTTCAGTCTTACCATGCGATCCACTTCGCTGGGCTTTTACAGCTGAATCCCTCTGAAGAGCTGAGGTGCTGAAGCGAGGATTCCCGGCAGCTGGTGAGAGCGGAGCTGCACAGGGTCCTTGTCTCCGCTAGAGGACAGTGGTATACACCGGGTAATGCCTTTGCTGCAGCATTCCTGTGTGAAGCTGTTAAATTGTCACCTAATTTGAGGTTCTTCCTTATGAAATGCTGTCTGACTCAGAGCTGGCTGCCTGCCACCTTCAAGTAAAGAGCACTTGGGCTAGATTTTTTTTAAGTGTTGGTTTCTCCGCTTTGATAAATCATGCGTTTTATCAATAGGTGCCTTTTTGAGATTCATCTTGTGTTGGTAAAGCCTTTTTACCTAAGGAAGGGTTTTAATTTGCTTGTTAATTTACTTCTCTCTTCTGACACACTCTGTTCAAACATTCCCTACAACTGCTCAGAAAACACGCTCACTGTCACATCTATGACCTGTTTATCTTGCTGCCACAGGGAATCTGCAGAAGCTGTGGTTAAAAAGCAGGGCTGGAGGCTTACTGTGTGACCCATACCTAGAGGGCAGCTCGTGTGCTGCAGTGATCTGAATTCCTTCAGAGCAGGGAGAGCAGAGCAATACCAGGACTATCCCCCAGGCCTGAAGGGAGATGTTGCTGCAACAAGTCAAGGTTTAGTTCAATCAAGTGATCTTTGGGAGAGGTAATAAAGGTAAAAGTTCCAAACTGACCACGCTTGGTGAAATTGCATTCCTGGGCTGATTTGTTATGCTGAGGCCCAAGGTAAGTCACCTCAACTGTAGAGCAGGGAGGCAGCCAACAGGTGACTTAAATGTGCCTTCAGGG